AAGAACCACTAGCGGGACTAGGGATAGTCAGGATGTCCTCGGGATAGTAGTAGAGTGTTGTAAGCCTGCGGGGGTAGCCGTAGCATTCACTAGCAGTCAGATGGTAGTAGTAGTGTTGTAAGCCTGCGGGGGTAGCCGTAGCATTCACTAGCAGTCAGATGGTAGTAGTAGTGTTGTAAGCCTGCGGGGGTAGCCGTAGCATTCACTAGCAGTCAGATAGTAGTAGAGTGTTGTAAGCCTGCGGAGGTAGCCGTAGCATTCACTAGCAGTCAGATAGTAGTAGAGTGTTGTAAGCCTGCGGGGGTAGCCGTAGCGTTCATTAGCAGCCGGATAGTATTTGAGACTTGTGAATCCGCGGGTGTAGCCGTGGCTTTTATCAGATTGGTAGCAGCATGAGCGCGTGGTTGAACGCGGGAATGTAGTAATTCCCACCCGTTCGGGTGCAGCGGTGGGAATATGGGAATCCACGGATTAGATGCGGATTTCCCAAATGGTTCAGTTATGGCTAAGTCAGCGAATCTTGGCTATAGATCGTCACATCAGTTGTGAGATCAGAGTAGCAGTGGACCGTTGAGGTTCGGGTATGTTAAGGGCTACCGTCAGTCTGGGAGCCATCATGTTATTAGTCATAGAATGGATGATGTCAGGATGTGAAGTATGGACCCGATCGGTTGGATCGGAAGGCTGTTAGAGCCACAGTGACAGGATAACTAGTGGAAACTAGTCCTTGAGGAAGATTTCATTCAGAAGTCGTGGAAGCGACTAAGGGAGGAGTCCTTTGACTCCACAGTTGGATTTGAGTTTAGTGTTTCAGGCAGCTCAGTGTTTCAGCCAGTTTAGTGTTTCAGGCAGCTCAGTGTTTCGGCCAACTCAATGTCTCAGGCAGCTCAGTGATTCAGCCAGATCAGCGTTTCAGGCAGTTTAGTGTTTCAGGCGGGTTCGGTATTGCAGACAATTAAGTGTTTGAAAGGTTTCGGAGTTTTGGGATCAGTTGAGCCTTCGGCCGAGTATAAGTGACATGTAAAGATAGCTAGGCAAGTAGCTTTTCTTCGGGATGAAAGACTCGAGTTAGTAGGAGTTGAGAAATCAGATGGGATATAAGCAAGCTATTCCCAGCGACATCGTTTCAGTATGAACGGAAGAATGGATAGAATAGTTATAGATAGTCGAAGTATTTTCAGGAGTCGCGGGAAGCGACTAGGAGATTGCGAAGGGGTGTAGTAACCGGTAGGGTTCGGTAACCCAAATATGGAGGCGTCAGTAAGGACCGGGGGTGCTCGGCACCAAGTTATGTCAGATAGGAGCGTCGGTGGGTGTTGGCGGTATTGACCCGTACTGGAATTGGCGGGGGTGATGGAGTTGGTGAAGTATAGGACCTTCATAGTTACAGAGAAATAGTTGGTTATAGAACCTTGCCTTGGGAGGGCAAGGGATTTGCGCAAGGACAGGAAGGGACGAACCCCTATAGGTTCAGTTCAGTACTCGGTGAGTACCAGAAGGATTGCCGGTTGAGTAAGTTGGGTCTCCAGGATGTTCAGGGTCAGGGTTGACCCGAGATGTTATATGCAGGGATTAAGGTTAGTCGGAAGGATCGAGCTAAAGCCAGCAAGGGTAGGCAGCTGGTGTTGGAATAGTTGGTTGGGTTTAGAGGCAGCTCGCAGGCAGTGGGCCATAGCAGACTTCGAGGACGAAGTTTAGTTTAAGTGGGGGAGAGTTGTAACACCCAAGTTTCGAAGACCAAGAAAGGAAAGAAAACCCTAAGTTTAGGGGTCGACTCGGCGAGTCCGAGCGGGATCCGGGTCGGGGAGTAAGTGACCGACTCGGCGAGTCGACCAGGGTGACTCGGCGAGTCTGGTCTGTGCGTGGAAAACCCTAAATTCGGGACTTGGGGCCTATATAAATGTCTTAATCTTCTTCCCAGGGTTCCTTACTGCCTCTTTAGCCCTGGATATCAAACCCTAGCCGTCATATCTCCTAGTTGAGCCTTGGAAGGTGCTTTAAAGCTTGGAAAAGGAAGAAGGAACTTGGAGGAGCAAGAAGGAGCTATAGATCTGGGATTGTGAGTTCATTTTGAGCACTTGGAGGTAATAAACTAGTTCCTGGACCCTTTTTGCACCTAGATCTATGTGTGGTTGTTGGGGCTCTTTTGCCATAATGTTATTATTTTGGGTTAGAAGCCGGATCTGGAGTTGCTACTTCAGATTCAAGTGTTTTAGGGCCTGGAGAAGCATAAAGTATCAGTCATTGTGTTGATTTTGAAGTCCCTTGGCCTTACACCCTAGTTAATGGCGTATCTTGCCTAGATCTCCTTCTCTACACGTAAAGTTTGCAACTTTACGTAAGGAATAGACCTTAAAAGAGTGGATCTACAGTTTGGAGTCCATGCATGACTCAAAGGTCCTCTGCATGTATGTAGAACCGTATGGACTCGGCGAGTCCTTCGAGTGGACTCGGCGAGTAGCTTGAAGATGAGGAGGAACTCGACGAGTAGGATGAACAACTCGTCGAGTCGGATGAAGTTAGGCATGGACTCGGCGAGTTGGATGAGCAACTCGGCGAGTTGGTTGAAGATTGTCTAGGACTCGGCGAGTCTGTTCTTGGACTCGGCGAGTCAGATCGCGAAAACCCTGAACCCTTCGAGTCGAGGCCCGAATCAGTGAGTCGGGTGGTGACTTAGCGAGTTGGACAGGACAGGACTTGGAACTGGTTGGACTCGGCGAGTCATGGACTGACTCGGCGAGTCGGGTCGCGAATAAGAAAGACCCTGAGCTTATGAACTCGGCGAGTCTTTAGGAAGACTCGGCGAGTAGGGTTGACCTGGAAGGTTGACTTTGACCAGAGTTGACTTAGTTGACTGTCAGACTAAGTGTTATATGTATATTGATAGCTCGGAGAGCTGGAGGAGCAGCGGATCAGGGGATTGTCGAGTAGCAGCCAGAGATTTATCAGTAGGGCTCAGCAGTTCAGGTGAGTTACCTTCCAGTAGTGGTGGGCCTAAGGCCACAATGCCGGCCCACCAGTAGGGGACGTATGATAGATGATTGTCTTTGTGATATCATCTAGGTTTGCTATTACCTGTTATGTTATATGCTCTCATGATACGTTATATGCAATAGTAGTAGAGTTCGGTTGTTAGGACCGCAGGGTAGTCAGACACCCCAGAACATCTGACTGTATGTGATGGTATGCTTGTATGTTGGCCTGTTATGTTATGCGATAGAGGTAGCGGGAGGGGACCAGTCCCCGAGGATCGGTTGTTAGGACCGATGGGTAGTCAGCACCCCAGAATGGCTTGACATGGGTAGTCAGCACCCCAGAATGGCTTGACATGGGTAGTCAGCACCCCAGAATGGCTTGACACGGGTAGGACGGCACCCCAGAATGGCCGTATGGGTAGGTCGGCACCCCAGAATGGCCGTACCGGGTAGTCAGGCACCCCAGAATAGCCTGGCAGTATTTATGTTATGTGTTTGTATGGTATGTGGTACGTTGGGGGAACTCACTAAGCTTTGTGCTTACGTTTACAGTTTTGTTTTCAGGTACCTCTGCACCGAAGGGGAAGGAGCCGGCGCGGTAGCGGCACGTCATGCACACACTCTGTCTTCCGCATTTACGAGAGTCACTGGGATTGTACTCTGATATTTTGATGGGATGTATGGTTTGACCTTTTAAAACATGGTAGCGATGTGTTATGGTGTGATCAACAATGTTTTTATTTATTAATGTTTTCTAAAGTAATATTTTAAAATGAAATTTTCGGACGTAAAAATTGGGTCGTTACATCATGCCAATCAGATTTAAGTTCTTCATTCTCTCTCATGTTGCTAGCTTCTTAACAAGTTCTTCCTGACACGCCATTTAGCGAACTGGTGGGGATGGAGTAGCATCTCATAGCGAACCTTTTGGCGAGAGGGGTGGCGAGCAGGGGTGGCGAGCAGGGGCGGAGCATACTAAGGGCTAAGGGGGTTGTGGCCTCCCCTGTTTTTTGGCTTATAATTAGGTTTTCCTACTAACTTTTATATATATTAGACATAAAATTATAAGATATACGTTTTGGCCCCTACTGTTTTTTTTTAAAAGTATAGTTTTAGTTTCGGCCCCTCAAATAATTTGTTCAAGCTCCGCCACTGGTGGCGAGACTAATCGCTCAAACTTAAGGATGATGATACATAATGTTTGTTCTAAAAGAACCATGCGTATGCGCACAAAAGGAAAAAAAAAAAAAAATACTGTTTTAGGAAAAAAAAACATAATACTATTTGTGAAATTTATATTAAAGAATTCTCATATAAAAAATTTTTTTGTTTTTTTTTTGTCGAGATCTTTAATAAAAACTTATTCAAATATTAAAAAGTTTTTAAAAATGCGTGGAGCTTCCTAGCAAAAATTCCGGTGCTTTCTATCGTGGCCTTCCATGTCATCAAAACCGCCATGAACGTGGCATTTCCATCCTTCTCCAACAAAAACACAGACTTCGCCTTCTATCTGTGTTTCTGCAATTCCTTTAGATGCTACCATTGTTAAAAGCTTCCCACCATATAATATCATAGCAAGTGTAAACGACTCCCTGCTCCAAATTCCCCTTATTTCTAACTTCCTACTACGAGAATAACTAATGCAAGGTAACCATATTAATTACTCGTCCTCTGCGATTCTCTCTTCTTCATGGTTATCTCTCCTCCATATCTGTTATTCTGTTTTTTCTTAAGAAGCTTCTTCCTCACGCTTATATCTTCTTCCGTCCAAAATCCGTTTGTAATTTTGACTAATTATTTCATTTAAGGCATAGTATATAACTATATATGCTCATTAGTTTGTATATTTCTGTATAGTGATAAATGAATACGTGTATTTTCCGTAGAATTTGAGTTACCTTTTCAGTTTTACGATGTGGGTTTTGACTTTTTAGTTCTTCTGAAGTTAAATCGAGTATAGAAACTAATCCTAATTGGCTTCTAATTTGCGGATAGGAATTAATGAATCTTTTTCGTTAAACCAGGATGATGAATTCACAACCTGCAACACATACCATAAGGTCTCATGGCCTAACCATATCCAGGATTCACATGCATGATTGGTTGATTCTTGCACTACTACTAGCGATCATGGGGCTTCTAGGTCTTCTCCATCCTTTCCATCGTTTTATCGAAAAAGACATGATGGTCGATCTCAAGTATCCGATGAAGCCTAGCACTATCCCATTTTGGACAGTTCCTGTAAGTTCATCTTCTCCATCTTCCACAATCCCAAACCCACAAAACGTTGTTAATTTCTCTTATTTCATGTTCCTTCAATTAGCTATATGCAGTTCTATTGCCAATTGCTATCTTCCTGGCATTCTATCTTCGTAGAAGAGATGTTTATGATCTTCACCATGCAGTACTAGGTGATCAAATCTTTCAACTTCATTCTCATTATCTTCAATCGATTGAATCAGAATAATTTGATTTTCATGTGTTAATTAATTACCACAGGGCTTTTGTTCTCTGTTTTTATCACTGGTGTTATAACAGAAGCTTTAAAAGGAGCAATCGGCCGACCTCGCCCAGACTTTTTCTGGCGATGTTTTCCAGACGGAATAGATGTACGCATTCCATCATATCAATCAATCCCACCACCATTTTCTTGTAAATTTCTCCAATCGTTTTCAGGTCTATGATCAATGGGGAGATGTTAAGTGTCATGGTGATATCGATGTTGTAGGACAAGGCCATAAAAGCTTCCCAAGTGGGCATAGTTCATGTGAGTAAAAGACACATTTACCCTCTGATTACTCATACAAGATTAAAAAAAGACGCCTTTTTGTGATTTTGTCGTAGGGTCTTTTGCGGGTTTGGGATTTTTATCGCTCTATTTATCTGGAAAAATAAGAGCTTTTGATCAACAAGGTCATGCTGCGAAGCTATGCATAGTGTTTCTCCCTTTGATTGTTGCATCTCTTGTTGCCATTTCTAGAGTGGATAACTATCGGCATCACTGGCAGGATGTATGTGTAGGAGGCCTTATAGGTGTGTGTGTGTTTATGTATTAGGCTAATAACTATCTTTCTTGTTGCTTTTTTAAAAAGCATGAATTATTATGTATTATTGTAGGTATCACAATGGCCATATTTTGCTACTTGCAGTTTTTTGCACCACCATATCATGCTAAAGGTATGAACTTTGATGTCACTTTTGGATCTTGATTGTTTCTTGACAAGAAATCGCCATTAACACTTATGATCATAAAGGTTGGGGACCTTATGATTTCTTTCGGGCTTTAGAGGAGTCTTATGCAAATGCTAGTAATGTGGGTGAAGTAGAAGTTCAACAAAATGAGAGGAATAATGATTTGGCAATGGGGTCTTCAGTGGATTCACATATGTCAGCAAATGATCTTGAATCTGGTAGGTGTTAGTTGTGACGTTTTGATAATACTTAAAGACTAGGTTGATTTGTTTATATGGTTGGCTAATGTTGTACATGTTTTTCGATTGTAAACTTGTAATCTATTTGTATCTGGTTGAGACCCAAACCGAATCGTATAGAATACTATGTCTAGAGAGAGTTAAAAATTGCACATATGGTTATGTTTTGTAGTTACATGTAATGATATTATTGTTCGAGTAAATTTGGTGTAGTATTTTTAGCATTCAAGAACTTACATGAAGATTTAATATGAAATAAATGTATAAAGTGAGCATTTGATTATTGGAGTTGTTTTGAATTTTTAAGTTTTGTTGCTAAATGAAAACTTTTTGAGTTCCATTGAATTGGCATAACAAGACGACAACCCACAATTAAGATGTTAATTGTTAGCCCACAATCGATGACCCCGTGGCGTGCAAAAACCGGTTTTTTTTATGAACCGGACCGGTTCAGAAAACCGGTTCGATTCAAGTCCAACAAGTCAAAACCGGTTCACACCAAAACCGGTTCGGTTCCAATCCGGTTCACCCCAAAAATTATTCGAACATATTTAAACCGGTTCGGTTTGTTCAAAACCGGTTCAACGAAAACCGTTTTTTTTTTGAGCTAGTAAGTGTAAAATAGGAATGGGTTTTTTATTTGTTTAGAGTATAAAGCTCTTTTGAGCTAGTAAGTGTAAAAAACCGGTTCAAACCGGTTCAAAATCGGTTTACAAATAGGTTCAAAAAACCGGTTCAAACCGGTTCAAAAAACCGGTTCTTAACAAACCGGTTCGAAACCGGATCACACATTAAAAAGGGCGAATTGGTTCGGTCCGTAGGTTCGGTTCTTCGGGGGTTCGGTTCATGCATGAATCGGTTCGGAGGAAAACCTGTTTCCGGTTCACTAACCGGTTCGGTTTGTGAACCGGTTTTTTTGGGCATCCCTACCCGTGTATATGAGATGTATGTCCACAGTGGAAAATATGAATAAAGAAATAATGGAAGGAAGCGAAGCATTCAATAAAGTTGGTAAATAAGCACATGAGCATCGGGCAATGGGCATTGTATACAAGCAATAAAGCATACATCATGGACTCAATAAGGCCCAAGCGGGAAGGGTGGGAAAGAGGAAAAATAAGGAAATCTCTAAGGGTGCAAAATAAACATATAAATGTTGTACAAAAAACACAATCATATACGAAACCTAGGATAATAAGCTACTACACATCATAATTGTTGTACCAAAAACACAATCATCAAAGTAACCACCTTATTTTCTATGAAAAATTACATATTCTCATATATTTTATTTCTATTTATCTTCCTAATTTTATAGAACAATGACACGTGATATCTACTTATTCTTTTTCTTAATCTTATTTCTTGATTTTGACACTTGCTTTAATCTAATGTATTTGAAGATTAATAGGAACAAAAGGTAGAAAAATATTTGATTTCTCATTTTTATGCTCATCTCCTTCTCTCCATGGCTTTTATAAGCTTGTATATTCTAGTTCCCCCTTTTGTGTCCAATCTCATCATCTGCCATAGTTTTTGTTTTTGCCACCACTTTCTTAGGCTTCTTTTTACTCTCATCATATCTTTCATCCACTATACTCTTCCATGTCCTCACCACAAATTTAAAACTTCTTAAAACCTGTTTTTTTTTATCTCGACCTTATCTTGGATATGCATCATCCAACACTATGATCCTCTATGCTTATTCGAATTCCCTATCTCCTTCCCAACAATGTTTTTAACAAAGTTTCTAATGGTGCAAGTCACATTATTCCATAGCTTTATAATGTTCTTTGAATGCCCACTCCAGATTTTGCTTTTAAGACAACCCTATTCTTTTAATCCTGTATAATTTTTTTTTCCAAAAAATCCTTGACCTAGCTTCCCTACTCTCCTTTAAACTCTCTCCTGTATCAGCTTGCACTATATGCATGCCCTTAGGTCTAGTTTGTCTTCCACATCAAAAGATAATCAAATGTGCAACCTCTTTTAAAATAGTTTGAAACTACCAAATATGTGAGTCGTTGCAAACTCAAGAAATGGACGAAACCTCATCATTACTACCATAAAAGAATCCTCGTCTAATATCCGATTTGCATTCGTCTATATGCAATCAACAAATATTACTTTAAACAATAAATGGTGGTTTAGGTTTTGAAAAGAGTATTGAAAGCGCTTCAGCCAATGTTATAATTTTCTAGAACTGTAGTCAAGTATTACTTTTGTACAAAAAGAATAATTAATTTACATAAAAAGTGTGATATTTGTGGTTCCAAATAAAAAAGTTTCGGGGGAGAATGTAGGATTCCCAAACACACGGGAGGTTAATGGAAATCAAAAGAATCGTTCATCTTTGTAAATAGATCAAAGAGCAAGGGGCACCTCCGTCTTTTCACCCCAAACCCTAAATCGTCTTTCTCATATAAGATCATCTTTCTCGCCGCCGTTCCAAATCCTCAGTTCCAAAACCCTACACAGCCGAGAGAGAAAGAGAGGGAGAGCGAGAGAGATGAAGTACAATCCAAGAGTCTCAAGCTCTCGCCGGAAATGCAGGAAGGCGCACTTCTCCGCGCCATCCAGCGTCCGCCGTGTGTTGATGAGCGCACCCCTTTCCACAGAACTGCGCGGCAAGTACAACGTCCGGTCAATCCCAGTCCGAAAAGACGATGAGGTACAGGTTGTTCGCGGTACCTACAAGGGCCGTGAAGGTAAGGTTGTTCAGGTCTACCGTCGCAAGTGGGTTATCCATATCGAGCGGATCACTCGTGAGAAGGTTAATGGGCAAACAGTCAATGTAGGGATCAACCCTTCAAAGGTTGTCGTCACTAAGCTCAAGCTTGATAAGGACAGGAAGTCGTTGCTTGACCGGAAGGCTAAGGGCCGTTCCGCTGATAAGTCGAAGGGAAAGTTCACCGAGGATGATGTAGCCGCCGGTGCCTCTCTCCAAGAGATCGATTAGGTTTTTCATTTTTCTGGTATCTTATTAAATGCTTCTTTTGAATATGTTATGTTACATTGAGGATTGTTTTTGGGAATTCTTGTTGATCCTACAGATTTCATCAGTTTAATCCGCTTTACCTTACTTCATCACGAATCATTCTGTTTAATTGTAGGTGATATTTTATAATTGGTTATTGTTGTTCTTTGTTTACTGTTGGCAACTTGATTGCATATTTATGACCCAGTGTTCATTCAGTCTATTTCTGAGACTACCGATTCCAGCAAAGACTGGAATTGGAATATAAGTGGTTAGATTTGGGGATTGAAGAGTGGTTTTTGAGAGCAATTTTGTTTTTTTTTTAATCAAACATTGTGTGGTATACCTGATGTGTTGGTTGCATTGTTGATTTCTCATTCATCTTTAGTATAAATGATTGTATCCATATACATGATTTGAAGCAGTTCTATCTATTAAATCTGTTAGATTATGATTTGTGTAACGAAATCAAGCTACTTGATTTAAATGTCAAAAACTATGATGGATTCTTGTGAATAATTGTTTTTCATGTGTGTTTGAAAGATCAATTACAGGTTTATGTTTTGGAAGTAAGAAGCTTTATACTTGGAATTAGTTTGGCTCTCCAGAAAATAATTTTACTCTTACGAAGTCTCAAGTGTTGCATACATTAGGTTACTTCATTTTTCAATGTAGTTTATAAGGGTTTTGAATAAGTTGTGTTAAGATTATGTAGGCTATGGTTTGCGCATTACCTGAAAAGCTAGCAGCTAAGAATGTGTTTTTATAATTAATTAAGAAATATATTTGGAAATTTTAAAAAAAAAGGTCTTAAAAAACTAGTGTAGCTAGTTTTCTGATAACTTATTTTTTGGCTTGCTAAATGATAATTTAAAAAGACTTTGAAAAATAAGTTTGCTATGGATGATATGCAACACACAAGATATTGTGTTTGGGCTAGCCTATGAAATTAATGTGATTATTTTTGTAAGTGGAGTTGCATAATATGGGAAAAAGGCTATGGCTTGGCATCTCCAACCTAACTTTATTTTTAGTGTTCGAGTTTGTAACAATGTACTTCAACCACACTTTGTTTTTCATCCTAAATTGGCGTTATATGATGCTAAATTTGGTGTTAAAAGTTATAAAACTGAATTTGTGTTATTGTTTCATACTTTCATGTCATTTGTGGTGGTTCTTGTTTGAATTTTTAAATATATCAAGTTTACTCTGTTATTTTTGTCAAATGTTTATAAAAAATAAAAATTATAATTTTCAGCTATCAACTATTGGTTAGTTTTGATAAACATGCACTATAAGCCCTCTAATGATGAACACAATCTATGGAATCTTATGATGATGAAATTAATGCCGCGAATGAACTATTATCAAAGAATATACACGATACTTATGTTTCATTGATAAACAAAAACCATCAAACATCTTTTATTTTCTAAATAGAGATAATGACTTAGGAGGGTAATAAGGTTTTCAGTTTGTCCGTATTAGGTCACTAAGGTTTTTTTTGTGCGTATTAGACCAATATGGTTGTTATTACCGTTTAGAAATAGTTTTTTTTTACTTGTTAAAACCGGTAAAATGACTATTTTTAAACGGTAATAACAACCATATTGGTCTAATACGCACAAAAAAAAAAAAAAACCTTAATGAGTTAATACGGACAAACTGAAAACCTTTACCCTCCTAAGTGCTGATTTTTTTATTCATTTTGCAACTTCAGTTTCTTAGTTCATGTTGTGGTTTTGCTTTTTATAAAATAATTGATAATAGACATCATCTACAAGTCCCTATTGGTTTTATATTTTCATTCGTTATCAAATGTAGACATTAATGGGAGGTATTAAAGTGAGATTTTGTTTTTGTACCTATGGATGTGTTCATGTAAACATTTAAATAACAAAAAAGAAGTTATTGATAAAATGTTGTATATTTATGTAATGAAGATCATCAATCATATGAGTTTCTGAACTTAAAAGTTCTGGAAGGGTTGTGAGATAAATTTAAATGGAAGCAACTATTTTCAGTCAAACAAATCAGTCACATTGATTAGTAAGCATGTTTTCTAAATAATTAGGGTTAATGACTTAGGAGGGTAATAAGGTTTTCAGTTTGTCCGTATTATGTCACTAAGGTTTTTTTTGTGCGTATTAGATCAATATGGTTGTTATTATCGTTTAAAAATAGTCATTTTTACCCGTTAAAACCGGTAAAATGACTATTTCTAAACGGTAATAACAACAATATTGGTCTAATACGCACAAAAAAAAAAAAATCTTAGTGATCTAATACGGACAAACTGAAAACCTTATTACTCTTCTAAGTTATTATCCTTTCTAAATATCGTTGTTGCCACAACAGATTTGAGGCCATAAGGCTCGCGCATAACAACCACAACAATGTTATCATCATATAAGTTATTGTAAGTAACATTTTTAAATTACCATTTTTAATTTAAAAAATGTTTAATTTTTAAAAGTAGGTCCCAAAAGTTTAAGTTTAACAGGTTTGAGATCGACGCAAGAGGTATTAAAACTGTACGAGGTTGTTTGGTTAATTCTATTTCAAAACTTCATGAAAAAATGTTAATATCTTTTCTCTTTATAATGGTGGGTTGTAGTTCTAATAACTTTGTTCGGTCTTTCCTAAACTTTACATTCTTAGGATCATAAACAAATGAAACCGAAACTAGCTAGACACTTTGTTCTTAGGATCATAAGCAGATGAAACTTTACATTCTTAGGATCATAACGGAAATCTTACATTCTTAGGATCATAAACACTTTGTTCTAGTACATGAAACGACTGCCTTTTCTTTTAACAAAAACCATTTTTTAGAAAACGGAAGCTAGCTAGACACTAGCAAAACAAATACAATTAAAGTAGAAATTTTGAATTTTACAACCAAACATTCCAGTTTTTTCTAGCCATATATGGTGTTATTAAAAGGCAAATCAACCGAAAGAAAACACATCAATGCTATAAAAAATATAATACTTCCTATACTTGGACTATAGAAAATGAAAATGTTCAGACAAGTCCAAAGAACCCAAATGACTATAAAAAAGAACACATCCAAATTCACCTATTCCGTATAGTGTTTTAGCTTAGATAATTGCTTTACATAGGATTACTATGAGGATTAGTTTTGAGAATCAAATACTTGATATCGACTTTACTCTTTGTCCGATATGCACCTTGGAAGTTTGAGGTTGCACAACACCTCTCTATTAATTGTAATTTTGCTAAGGATTTGTGGGATAAAATCATTCGTTGATGGGATAACTCTGATATTCTTCCTCGGTATTGGAGCGATTGGAGATTTCAGATCATGTGCAAAGATCTAAGTCTGTCAACCTGTGTTTAGAGGTGGTTATCTCGTTTTCTTTTGGGCATTATGGAGAGGAGGAGACCATTTTTGTTTCTTCTACTATGACAATGGATTTTTATCTTTCAAAATATTTTGATTCATTTTCTTTCTTAGATTTCTTGTAGAACAAAAAACAATAGTCTTGATTGGTTAGCTTGCTAAAGGAACCAAAGTTTTCTTTTCAAAGGTTAATTGTATTCTATGTACTGTTTTGACTGTTTTTTTGTTAATCTTTTTGTCTTAATATACCTTTTTGTTATTGTTCAAACAAAAATCAAGCATAAAAGTCTCTACTAGATGAGTGACACAAGAGCTCGGCGTACACACAAGGAGTCCAATCTATATATTTCTATAACTATACCAACTCAAAACCAACAAGACTAGTTTGTATACTTTATAAACAAATTACTTCAACTTATGTTTATTTATTTATTTAACTAAAGGTTACATTCTTTATATTTATTTTAAGCTAGTGTCAACAAGATCTACAAAACGAAAATATTTTATAAGGATGTTTTTGTAAGTGAAATGGACTTGTGTGTGTGTGGGTGTGTGTGATGGGGCCATAGGATTAGTTAAAGATGTAATAAGGAAGCAACAAAAACAAGGGCTGATTAAGAGAAGCCAACAGCAAGCTATCATTCAAGTTCAAAATCAAGACGTTCATTCATTCATTCATACACTTGAACCTCACGCTATTTGAGAAACAAAACCCACTCAACGTTCCCCTTTCTTTTTCTTGTGTCAAATTTTAATCAACTTCTAACTAATTTCCTTCCCACATCTAATAGCGACCCTCTTTCTAACTTCCCAAACACATAAACCCAACTAACATATTAATTTTATACTCGTCGCTTTTATCCACTCAAATAAAATTTTGAATAACCTCTTCTATAATTACAGATCATCATTCATAAAAGATAAGTCTATATATGACAAATAAATGAGAAATGATTCCTATACAATAATATTTTTATACACAACAATTTATGTTTTATAAGATTGTACAATACAATAATTATTATTAAATGAATATGAAATTTTATTAGTAAAGACTGTTTAAGAGGTTTGTAAACACTTTAATATTTTTGTACATCTTATAAACTAGGAAACGATAGTAAAATACAACAAAAAGCGATTGAAATCATATAATTACCGGAAAAGGAATTTTTGATATGACCATAATAAAAACAAATAATAATACATCAAAATACCAAATAGTCAAACTAAGTTTAGCAAAAGGAAAACAAGAAGGAGAGTCGTGATTCCTTTTTAGCAGAAGACACATCCTTTTCACTAAATTATAATATATTTCTTGTCATTTTGATATTTCATTATTTTCTCCAAATCAAGCATTATTTTTTTAATGTTAACCGTTTCATCGATACTTTTTTGGCTATTAAATCAAATTTAGTTCTTATAACTTAAATCATAATGATTTTTTGAAAAAAAATCATTTAACTATTTTTTAATAACATAATTCTTAATTTAGATCATACATCTTTCTATGCATAGTCTTTCAACTTTGATATTCATAAAAAAAGCTCCATCTTGAAGAATTTCATCAAATATTATTGGAGTATATGGAAATACATTTTCAAATAATGAATCACTA